GGGCATGGAGGCAGATTCAGCTTATTGTTGCCTCTTCTAATTATGAGCTTAAACACAATCATGGTGAAGATGACGCACCATAATATAGAAAGGCATAGGCTTTGATTTAGTAATTCTACAGCCATTGATCTTTCCATGAATGAAAGAACAATGAGACTATGTTTCACTTTATATCAAAACGAAAGCACCCATCAGTATTTATATACAAGTTTAGGAAGGCTTCTATATTTTTTATTACAAGTCATAATAAATAAATTAGCATTAAATGCTCTTACGAATTACCAAGACTTGAAATTGCAAGTTTCGATACGCCTATCAATGACCAGCTCTTAATGTGATATTTCAATGGGTCTTTCAGTTTCAACTACTCCATTCAAACTAGTGTTCTAGACAATGGACTCAAGGAAAAAGTAATACACTGTCAAAAGTAATACATATATTAAAAAAGTACTTTTTTAAATATATCCTTATCTAATAATAACACAGCTCTAAAGCGGATTTTATAAAAAAGAACAGGGGAGTATCATATTCCAACAATTACAAACACACATGCACGTGTAATAATGAAATGCTTGCATGTGCCAATGTCCTTATGATGAATGATAAAATGATATTGAAACTTTTAGATAAATGGAAGGTTACAGTTTCGATCTCATTTGTAAGTAGATTGTTAATGTAATTAAAAAAAAAAAAAGCTGGTACACAAGTATAAAGCATGGCCACACAAAATTAGTGATAAACTTGACATTTTTGGCCCAAAAAATAGTTTAATTTAAAAATAATGACCTTTCGGTTCTTTTCAACCACTGTACAATGTGGTATAAGAAAGAATGAACCTTAAGGCTTTTCTTTTTTTTGGCACTCAAAATCATATCAACATTTGGAGCTTTCAAACACATGAAAACACTAAGAAAGGCGCAAGAGATCTAAACTTTTCAGCCATTGTATTTTTCAGAATAATCCATCTTGGAAACACAATCATCATCATTTTCATTTCGGTGATAATATTATTTAGTTATATATATAATATTCATTAATTTGGAATATTCCAGCTACTACAGGGTCTAAACAGGAAAAAAAAATTTTAATATGATTTTTCCTATAAAACAGAACAATCATCATGGTCTGTGCATATTCCGCCAATATGATCAATTTCTTCTTCTATAACGAATTAATTGAAAGGATCATTGCACCCTTAGCTTCTTTAACCCGGAAGTTGAACAATAGAAATTTTAATTTCTTATCTTTGTTTACTATTGGCCATTGAGTGCGATTGATTTCTCGTGGCCAACACACTGATTAGAGTGTGACACTTTGAGTGTGATTAACTACATCATGGTTAAATAATTAATTGAAGTTTATATTAATATATATTATAAGTGTACATGATCATGCTTATTTGGCTTGTAAGACATTATAGTGCGTTTTAAAAAATAGGTTGGAAACCTTGTACTCAAACTATCAAGCATGAACGTGACCTTCCAACAAGCTCATAACTAATTACTTTTGCTCTCGAAGTGTACTTATTTTTCATATAATTATCTTACATAAACTAGACTGTTTGCTAATTCCATGTGATATGGGTCAAAGTTAACATTTTATAATATTTGAAAAATGTCAATTCATCAAAATTTAAATTAAAATAATCAGTCCCAAAAAAAAAAAAAGACACTTCTATTTATATGTAAATAGGACCTTTTTGTTGTTGTTGTGCGTAGTCTAATCTCGAGTATAGATAGTACATTTGATACTTAATATAAGAGCTAATTAATTAATTTGAGTAGGTTAAGAAAGTTTATTAAGTTAGTTATTGGTAATAAATATGTGTTGTCTTCTCTAAAATACCCTTCATAATAATGTATACTAATTAAAACTATCATTTGATGGAATATTTAACATGTACAACTATTATAAGAACTATTTTGAAAAAATAAATAAATATAAGATACAAAATGAATCAATATATTATATTTAGAACCAAATCAAATTAGAAGTGAAACTATTATGGGATCGTATAATCCATTGATTTTGGTCATTAGATTTCTTATTTACCTTTTTCATTTAAAAAAGGAAACAAAAAGCAAAAGAAAATTGTACTCATGATTCTTATTTCTGTTGCAATGACTCTGGTTGACCTTGGATCCTATATAACAGGCCAACGAAGAATTTAGCTCAATGCAGAGCAACTTCCACGCAGCATAGAATCAATCATCTTGGTTTGTTACCACCGAGATGAACTTTTCTTTCCTATTTCTCTTCTTCTCCCTCTTCCTCTTCTGTTTTCAACACCCGAGTTCTGCAACTAGTCTTCACAAAATGAAGCATCTCAGGCCACATCTTCTTGCTCAGCTTGGATCTTCAACAAATGACACCTCACCAACTGAGTTCTTCGAGGTAACCAAACCCATTAAACTCCCTCCAACAAAGCCTTGTTCATACCATATACTTGAACACGATTTTGGCTTCACGTATGGAAAAACGCCTGTTTTTGCCAATTACAGTCCCCCCAAACATTGCCCTCTCAAGTGTTCCAAGATTGTTCTCGAGTGGAAGGCGACTTGTAAAGGAACTCAATTCGATCGTATTTTCGGTGTGTGGCTTGGTGGAGTTGAGCTGCTTCGAAGTTGTACGGCGGAGCCTAGGCCTACTGGGATTGTTTGGACTGTTAAAAAGGACATTACGAGGTACTATTCGTTGCTCATGGATGATCATCTTCTTGCTGTTTATTTGGGAAATATTGTTGATAATACTTACACTGGGGTCTACCATGTTGATATTTTCTTTCACTTTTATCCTGACTTGAAGAGTTTTAGTAGTGATGAACCAAAATCTGATGGAAGTTTAGCATTTGGGTATGACTTTCCAGCAGATGTAATATTACCCATCTCACGAAATCTTCCATTGAATGATGGGTTGTGGTTTGAAATTGTGAGTTCCAATGATACAGCTATGAAAGAGTTCAAAATCCCCCAGAATGCATATAGGGCTGTGTTAGAGGTCTACATTTCATATCATGAGAGAGATGAATTTTGGTACAATAATCCTCCAAATGAGTACATTGCTGCAAACAACCTTACTGATACACCTGGAAATGGACCATTCAGAGAGGTTTTGGTCACTCTTGATGATCAGATTATTGGTGGGGTTTGGCCTTTTACTGTGATTTACACAGGAGGGATACAGCCCTTATTGTGGAGACCAATGACTGGAATAGGTTCATTTGATCTTCCTTCTTACGATATTGAAATCACACCATTTTTGGGTATGATATTGGATGGAGATACCCACTCATTAGGGTTTAGGGTAACAAATGCTTTGAATGTCTGGTTCATAGATGCAAATCTGCACGTTTGGTTGGATAGAAAGAGCACAAAAACAGAAGGAGAACTTTCTAACCTCATTGTCAAGCCTCTGGTTGTATCCTCTGTTTCACGTTATAAAGGCTTGAATGGAAATTTTCAAACTAGTGCGAGGAGATCAATTTCATCAACTGGGTGGGTGAGATCTTCTTTTGGTAATATCACAACCAGTTTAGTTCAAAACTTCACTTTCACGAACTCCCTGGTGTTTGGGAAAAACGGGGGAATGGAGAGTGTCAGCCAAACAATCCTTTTCAATGACACTGTTGATGCTGAGATTCCATATTTTGCTGTCCATTTTGTTGATAAAACTGACAGAAAATTTTCCCTATCCTTCTACGTGGATGAACTGAATCAAAGAAACGAAACATTTTCATATGTTGCAAATGTCACATTGGGATTTGAAGAGAATAATGATTCTGGATTCTTAAGCAGCTCTCTCAAGAATCTGCAGAATGCTCACAGCATTGTGGCTGTGAAGAATGATACTTTGGTTCAAGCAATTGGTAGTACACAACAAGTATACAAGTACAAAAGCCATGAGTTTTGCTATTTCCGGAATGTGAGTAATTTAGGGTACTCTATTCTCTATGATAAAGTTGCATACTCATGCAACCAGAGAAGCAACTCTGATCTTGGTTCTGTTATCTTCAAGGAGCCTTTCTCCAAAGACAAGTCTGAACATGTGTTGAGTATGTAGTGTGTTTGATTCGAGCTTTGTATAGAGGCTTCCGTTGCTACGGCCTCATTTTCTATTTCTGTGTTGCATGGGAGTTACACTGAATGTTGTGTGCCCAAAAGTGCCCGACGCCACTAGTTTAATTGTTAACTGTGTATTGGGATCCCAAACAAGTTAAATTAATGTTATGAAACAAGTTAGTTTAGTGTTTTGAATTAGTCAAATGGTGGGACTTAAACCTCTTTTACGGTGGAAGTCACTTTTATAGTGTTACTTAAAAATGTATAGTTAAGTTTTTCTTTAATCATGGTAGATTTTTGAATTATGACGTATAATCTTTTCTACCACTGAGTTAAATTCTTTTATACTTTAATAAGTTCAATTCTGTTCTACCTTACTAGAATTAAAGAAAGCTTATGAAATTGTTTAGTTTTTTGGTTTTAAAAGCAGGAAGTTACAACATACTTTCTGTTGTTCAAGCTTCGCATGCTTTTGTTTTTGTGCCAAGTGATAGAAACTTTTTTAATTCAAAGTATTTTCTGTTCTACTTATTACCAAAAAAAAAAAAACATAATGACTACCTCGGATACAATGCCACATAGATCGCTCATTCACCCAACACGTGCCACCTATACCCCACATGGCATTCCAGCACAGAACATTTCGGTCTAACGTTGGTACAAACGATCAACACGGCCAATCTGTTAACTATGGGGGAATTGCACTGTCTTTGAAATTTCAGTGGGTACATTGCACTTTTCAAGAGTTCGGGATACCAACCGTCTTTGAGATGCTTCAGAGCCAAATTCACATCTTAACCCTAAATTAAATATCTTACTCTAATAATTGATTCGAGGAAATCGATAGAATTTAGTACCTAAGCTTAAGAAGGAGAAAGACACCGGAGAGTGGGAGAGTCCGAAATTGCGAAAAATAAGGACCAATTAAATGTCAGCTGGTGGCCCGTTTCGAAGCAGAAAAAAAATCCTGTGTGCCTCCAAATAATGATCAGATAGTAATTAGAAGTTAAGCATGCTTGAACATCTTCATGCTGAGCCAATGAAGGTATACAGCAACCACAACCATAGGCAGAGTCAACGGCACCAAGAAGCAGTAATACCTACAATAAGCCAAATACAGATCAGGAAAAGAAATTTTGTTTTTTTAAAAAAGAATTGTTTTGAGATTGATATTCAGTTGGGGGGGGGGGGGCTGGAACGGTGATAGCAGCATTATCGTCAACAGTAATGATGATCAAGTTATTAACAATAGTTATGATAACACTAGTAAAACATACAATTGAATAACCTATAACAGAAAAATAAATAAAATTCTCTAGAAATAATCAACCTGGAAGAGAATCACAAGAGACAGAGAGAAGTTATTTCCCACATATTATGACAGCTGAAAAACAATTCGTCAGGGTGAATTCAAGAACCACATGTCACCTTCAAAGGTATTTTTGGGAGCAGCAGGTCTCACTCAAGAAGGCACTTGACATAACCAAAATTTCGATCCAAGCATGAAAGATAACTGTATTGGTACACTGATACCCAAGGTGTATGTGTTTGGCACACTAATATCTAAGAAGCTTTGATGCATAATATGCCTATATTTTTACTAATACTTCATACTAGCCAAAAAACGATGAGAATCTTGTATCCTCAAACTCTTAGCTGTCTCAACTTCTCTTGAAGCTGTAACCTTTCTTTGATATATATACCTAAGAGATGGGAAGATATATAATACGTTTGCCAACCAATTCGTCATATTCTATAAAAGCTAAAAGACTTAAACTACATAGGTTGGCTGTAACTCCACACCAGAAGACAACCATTTCATTAGTTGGAAATGCTGCCCTGTTATTGGAGTCAAAGCATGTGATGTCACAAATCAAATTACCTGAAAAATCTACAATGTACATAAATGGTGGTGAATGAAATTTCAAACTGAACTCAAAATAGCAAGAGGCATCTCATCTCTGAGGACTAATCTGCTTTTATATGTATTGAGCTGTAACTCCATTGATTAGCTGCCTTTCATTTGTGAATCTTTTGTCATTCAGAATGGTTTCTGAAAATTGCATGACTAAGCGTTGATAAAAACAAATAGATCCCTATACTTCAATGGATAATTTAAATGGGATAACAAGTAGAACTGGCAGTTTTAACTCAAAATAACTGCATCAATCATGTTTTGACAAGCATAAACTAATAAATTATTTGATGATGAACAAGAACCCCATGTAGTCCCCCTTAACACATGTGATGGTACAAGCTCCCCACAATCACTTGGTCATTCCATGAGGATATACCCAGCATGTCTTGAGCTGATAACGCAGACCTGATTAGTAGTATGTTGGACACGAGGCTAAAAGACCTCAGACCAAACCAGCTATTTTGAAGGCACACCATCCTGAGGCTAGGAAGGAATTTCTACATTGATGAGCTCATTCCACACCCCACACCCCCCCACCCCCCCAAAAAAAAAAAAGAAAGACGAAGAAGGTGATAGAACCTCTTGACATTTCTATCGCACAGATGACTGACAGAAATTTAAAAAAGAAGTTAGAAGCATTTGCTTTATCTATCCTAGAAGATAACTTAGATATTTTCTACATTATCGCCCACAATTGACCCAAGTGCAATCCTCTCTTGCATCTACATACTTATAATGGCAAGGATAAAACTTTATCCATGTTATTTCATGTAATCAAAACGAAACAGACACAGTCAATATTGTCCTCTAGCATCTTGAATCATAAAAATTTATATCTAGTCCATCAATAGTAAAACAAGTTGAACATAGAAAGTTCAGTATGGAACACAATTCAGTGTTAAGGCCTTATGATTTATGCATGCATTGTTCCCCTTCAGAAATCAGTAAATAAGAAAACATAAATAAATAGACAGAACCTTCACATTATAATTGATTACCAGTCATTTTGCATAGCAGATATTAACGCTATATTTGAAGGCGGAAGAAGCTTGGAAATAATTGCAGCAAATAAGTAGGCAACAAAGAATATAGAGCCAAGTAATATGAAAATCCATCCCCAAAATGTATTCTCTCTAGATGAAATCATTCGACAGGACCTCCAACTCCAAGGAGAGCCGCTCACAGCCAAGGTACCCGTTTGGTTGGCTAAATTTTAGCACAGTAAATGAAAACCAGCCTCCTTTCCACCTGCTCGCGCGTTTAGTAGCTGAGGAATAACGCTTACTTCGAACGCAGAAGAGATCATTCCTGCCAAGGGCGGGGAAGAGCTAGGTCCAGAAAGGGAGAGGCAGATAAATTTACTGAACTATCATGATGAAGCAAAACAGATCGAGATAGAGGCGATTATCCTGTCGCCGAAGCAATGATTCCTCTTCTCCGACAACTCACCCTGTCATCGGCCACACGTGCCGCCCACAAAATCATCGCCCTCGTTCATTGGATTTCTACGCATCCAATTGAACTGGGCAACTTGATCTGGTAGAGAAATCATTAGTTTAGCTAACAAATAAATAACATACGAGCGGCTTATAATTCCGTTGTCGTCCAGCGGTTAGGATATCTGGCTTTCACCCAGGAGACCCGGGTTCGATTCCCGGCAACGGAACCAAACTTTTTTGATTTTGTCTTTGTCACAAGCGTTAATATATAAATAATAAAAAATTATGGAAAAATCACCCCAAAAAAAATTTTTTTAAATAAAAAATGTGTAAGCACTATAATACTCTCTCATCTTTAATACCCGGTTTTAATTATAAGAGCCAGACTAATTTAAGAAAATTAAAGAAGTAAGTTGAGTTAGTTATTTGTCTTAAATAGATATTGTCTTTCTTAAAATATCTTTGTTAATCAAGTGTATTGACTAGAATTATCATTGTTAGAAAGGCTACTTTAGAAAAAATATATATATAAATACGACGAACAAACTGAATTGGAGTCTTATATTCAAATCAAAATAAAAGTCAAATAGAGTCTTATATTAAGAACCGGAAGTAGTATAAAATTTATTTAACTAATTTGATTAAATTAAAAAAATTAGGTAAGTTAGTTAATTATAAAAAATATGACATATTTTTCTTAACAATTAAGTAAATTAATAAATATAAAAAATATATCTTATATTTAAAATCAAAATTAAATAATTAATTTTTATATCAAAGGACAGAAAGAGTATTAGTATTAATTTTGAAAACAAGTAAACGCCAACAATTGTAATAAATGGGTCTTTATGTATTTTTTAATTTCTTTCAAAGACTATCTCGATTTTCTATCCATCTCCTGGTGTTTCCCTGCTGCCTCTTGGGCCGTGGGTTTAGCCTTTGCTTCCAGTTGCAGGTCCCCACCACCAGTAGCTCGAGGAAGACGAAGACGAAGGCAAAGCTTTGAGGGATAAGAAATCTCACCAACAACGAATTTTTATCCTTAAAATATAAAATTAGGATTCCCTTTCGTCTCTTCCTACTCCAGATGAGTGCTTCCGTTAGCAGGCTAGTTCTTCCACTCTGTCTCTCCCCCTCTATCTCACTCTATCTTTCTATAGTTGGTAACTTCAATTTTAGTTCTGACTTTGGAATTTTCTTTGTACAGTGCTGTGGGTTGGAAGTCTTCTTCCTTGTTCGTGCAATCTGGCTTCAACTATGGTGGCTCCAATGTAATTTCAGTCCCTCCAAAAGCAAAATTGCCGCACGGAAAATTTTCCGTCACTTGTTCAACATCCTCGCCTTCTAATGATGGTACGGCCTATTGTCTATTCCTGAAACTTTTTTGAGCGTCAATAACGAATTAGGTTACTCTGCTTTTTGTTTCTGGCGTTGATTATGTCCTATTTTACTGAAAATGAAGTTGTTTTATCTGTTTTGGCATTGGCGGAGATTCGTTAGATATACGGTGAGAGTAACGCCATTACTGTCGATAAGGATTTTTAGTTTTGATAAAACAATAATACAGAAATGAAGTGAATTCATCAGAATTGATTATTAGGACAAAATGATATTTATGTCTGCACTGCATATGTGGCTCCATCAATTATTCGTGCCCCAAGATTCTCTTCTGTTTTTGACTATCGTTAAGGTATGAATATGTGTTTGCAGATGGTTATTGGAATGAAATTTGGTTGTATCATTGCAAATATGGTTAGAAGCCATCTGATTTCGTTTGGAAATTCGGACAGTTGATTGATTGAGTGTTTCATTGAGAGTGGCTTATAGGATCACTGCTAAGTGGCGTTAAAAAGAACTTTTAGTTAGTCTTACTACTCCATTATTTCTTAAATATGTTGTGTATTATTTCTTTGAAGGAAAAGGAGAGGTAGTATTGAGGGCACCGACTTGTATTTGTTCATTTTATTACTTCTATTGAGTAGGGTATGACGGTAATTTCCATGTTATTGATTTTATGTTGTATCTTGTGCAGACACAGGAAATTACATGTCTATGTAAACAGGTTTTCGTGATGATTGACTTTATGTTTTGTGTATCCTTTTGTTTTGTTTTCTTACTCAGATCCACTGTTAGTAAAGGCTGCCAGAGGAGATGCTGTTAGTCGTCCTCCAGCATGGATGATGCGCCAGGCAGGAAGGTACATGGCTGTTTACAGAAAGCTTGCTGAGAAATATCCATCCTTCCGACAGAGGTCAGAGACGACTGATCTCATTGTGGAAATTTCTTTGCAGCCTTGGAGAGCTTTCAGACCTGATGGGGTAATTATTTTCTCGGACATACTTACTCCTCTGCCTGCCTTTGGTGTCCCATTTGACATAGAAGAAGTGAGGGGACCTGTTATATCATCACCGATACGCTCTGAAGAGGATTTAAAATCCTTGCATCCAATTGATTTGGATAAACTTAGTTTTGTTGGAGAATCACTCAAGATATTACGCCAGGAGGTAAGTTTGTTGTCTCACCTCATTTTTAACATAACTACTCAGGTAAATCTGTTTTCCTAAGTTAACGTTTATTTTGTTTTCTCTATGGTTTATCTAGGTTGGTGGTCATGCTGCTGTTTTGGGTTTTGTGGGAGCACCTTGGACGATAGCTACATACATAGTGGAAGGGGGTACAACACGCACATATACAAAGATAAAGAGCATGTGCCATACAGAGCCACATGTATTGAGGACTCTTCTTTCTCATTTGACACAGGCAATAACAGAGTACATCATTTATCAAGTTCAGTCTGGAGCTCATTGCATACAAATATTTGATTCATGGGGTGGACAACTACCACCTGATATGTGGGAACGCTGGTCAAAGCCTTACATCAAAGAGGTGGCTTTGAAAACATACTCCTTTTTTGTTCTTTTCTTGTCTTTTCTTTTCTTTGCCCCAAATGTTTCATTTTCACCCTGCATTGTTTGATATTAATGCATATACTATGCTCATACTCATGTTAAAACAGGCTCATCTCCTTTATATTGTTGAGGAAACAAAATAGACCAATGGTCCATAGCTTGCAGAGCTTTTCATTATTACGGTTTCATGTTAAGTTAATTCTTACAGAGCTTGAAGACTCTTTGGACCGCTATTGGCTAGTTGGCCTGGTGAAGAAAACTATCAGAAGTTCAGAAATTATTTACTCTGTTGAAAGCTTGTGTATTAGCAGCTTTTAGTAACAAATTAAGTTCATAACTTACTTATATGCTGTTTGAATATTTTAGTTTTCAAATACCAAAGGACTAAATCCCAAACAAGAAGCCGCATTTTTCATATATTTATGTTGAATTCTATGACTAATATTCCTGTAATATTTTCCTAGTTATTTTCTTTATTGATAGTGCTAAAAAACTGTCAATGCTAGGTTAATTACTGTCTTGCCATTTCTTCCTTTTCTGCAATAGTTATTGTCTTGCCATTTTCTTCTTGTTTTTTTTCTTCCCAATTTCCAGATTGTTAATGTGGTGAAGGAAAAGTGCCCTAAGACCCCGCTTGTCCTATATATAAATGGTAATGGTGGCCTTCTTGAGCGTATGAAAGAAACTGGAGTTGATGTTATTGGTCTAGACTGGACAGTAGATATGGCCGATGGAAGAAGACGACTGGGTAGTGGAATAAGTGTGCAGGGAAATGTGGACCCTGCTTACTTGTTCTCCCCTCTTAGTGCTGTGACTGAAGAAATTCAGAGGTTTGTGACTTATACACTCTTAACTTTGGTTTTCTTTGTGCAATCAAGTATGATAGTCTTGCAAAGATTTAGATGCAATCTTCACCATTTCTGGGCTGTAGTCTTTCTTCTTATGAATTATGCTGGGGGACTGAACTCCACTTGATATACGCTCACAGTAGGATCACGGTACTGAAAATGGTTGTGTTGGTAGTGGCAATCAACAACTTAAAAACTGAAGTACCATTGATAAATCCGTTTATTTTTAATTTGACATGGATTTGTCGATTCAGTTGGATTGGGACCCTTGGAAGAAAGGCCATATTTTCTTTGATTGTTGACTTGAAATTGAAGTCATTGGATACTATACTAGCAGTTGTGTCCTGGTGACTAACAAATGACCAGAATCAATAAAACACTAATTTGATGGATCTTGAGTCTTTTTTCCCCATTTCATTGGATAATTAGACTGAAGGAAGTGTTTGTCAGGGTTGTAAGGTGTGCAGGGCCTCGACGACACATTCTTAATCTAGGGCATGGTGTTCTTGTTGGCACACCGGAAGAAGCGGTTGCACATTTCTTTGAAGTAGCAAGGAGCTTGGAGTTTGAAACACTGTTTAGAGATAAAGCTGCCGAAGAACCTAACCTTGTAGTGTGAGGACAAATCCTGCTTAAGTATCGCTAACGCCAGAGTTGCCACATGTTCAAAACTTACTTTAGCCAGCAAGTTCAAGCATTTTTGTAGAAAGGTCAAAGGGGCTGTACATTGTTGTGCCAGCTAACTTGATGATCTTATGGTTTTACTGTCGGCTATTCTATTATTGAATATATTGATGAGTTCTTTCCCATTGTTTAATTTCGGATCGTGCCCTTTCTATGTATCCATTGTCCGATATAGTTCTAATTAATCCAAGTTTAAGTCGTTAAGGAGCTTTGGCTTGCATGATCAAATTGCCTAGTAACTGGATATCTGCGGGTGCCGTCTATTTCACCTTGACTATCTCACACCTGTGAACTTTCATTTCTGATTTTGTTTCAAAAGAAAAGGTTTTTAATTTGCTACTTTTATTCTGCGAATAACAATTCACTTTGGCATTTAGAAAGCCATTATATATTTTTGATCGTTTTAAACACATGAAAACGGGAAAACAGAAATAAACTTTTTCTATCACTTAGACCAAACAGATTCTTATTACACAGTAAAGTACAAGGGCATTGTTAATCAAGGGTATATCGTAGCACATTATTACTGATCATACAGTACAATTGAACTCTTATATGTCATACAATACAGTTGAATTCTTGTATTTCATTTATGAGCCATGCGCATTTCTTAGAACAGCAGAGCATTCACATTGCAGTGGAATGGTTGCGATATCGCTGTAAGGTCTCACTTAGAGTCTTGAGAGCCTTGTCATATGCTATAAACCCCATAAAAGTGAATTCATAGCCATCCACTGTGACAACCTCAATGTATTTTTCGGAAGGGTTCCATCTATTTGAGGAAGGAGTAACCCTGCTCAACTTTTCCACTGGAACTACCACCTGCATATCAAATACAAAATCAGAGTTGGTATTAGAAAATATAACATTAGAGATTCAGTTATCAAGAAATTGAAGTAGTCAGCTATGATCTTAGTAGGCAGCACCTATATGAGATAATTTGGCCTAACCTTGTACCTTTGTTTTTTCTGTTAACAAATTTAAGCAGTCCCAACTAACTGAGAATTGAAACATTGAAAGCTTGTATATGAAAGTTAATTAAGCTACCGCTCGAAGATAGGGAATAGTAAGCTGCTTGTTACATTATCAATCTTGCATTGTTGGGGTATGAGATATAATATTTAAGATTTTAATGTTTGTAATGAGATACAACATATGTTGTGCAAAAGCTAACAGAGCCAAAACTTCTGGAATGTGAAATCCTCTCACTTCTTGATTGTCATGCTTCCTTGCATCTTGGATTATATCAAGCATCATGAACACCAATAACACGAAGACAATCAGAGATTTCTACTGTTAAGCAAGATGCTATGATTAAAACGACAGAATACCAAATACCAAAAACTACTTTTAACTTCTGAGTGGGGAAAAGGAAGGTAAAAAATACCTTATAGCACATGGATTGACTATGGAGTGAGAATGGGTAATAATGAAGTGGATAGTCACTGCAGAAGGCTAATCTTTTTGTTGATATGAAAAGTGTTCCATTTATAGGTCCAGAGAAAGTTGATAGATAGCAGGCATATTGCGTTAACAGCTTCTCTCCTTGCAATATCCCAAATGAATTCTGAAATACTCTGTCATGCCCTCCTTGGGTGAGCACTTTTGTTCCTTGAACAAGTCTAGCCATTGCTGCATCAGCTGGATTAGAGCCCAACCTGACTGCATATGGAAAACATATTACAGAGGCTCAGACTTTCCCCAAAAAAAAAAAAACTAAACTCAATTCGTCTATTGGACTTCAGACCAGACTTGCATTTAGTACAATGTTCATGTCGAAAACTTAGTTTATAAAATCATAGTGAATAAGGGAAGAACAAAATCTGAAACTTACCTGAAAGGAACCATGATTAACTATCACATAGGTGTCAACTGTTAGGATTCTAGTCTTCTGCTGATTAACAATCAGCTTCCCAGAATTTAGAGAAAAACAGTTGAGATAAGGAAAAAGCGAAAGAATGCAATTCAGCTTACGTTATCTTTACTTATTTTTATGCGATCCTAACCAGACACAAAGTACTAGTATTTACTTTAATTTTTCTTTATACGTACAAGACAATTTATATATAACAAGTAGTAGTAGTACTCTCACTTCACTAGATTTGAAATTCTATATTCTAACATCACATAAAGACCATTAACCATTCCATCTTAAGCTCTTAGGTCGTGATCATAGTCTATAACAATTACTTCTCCACCCAGTTCTTCTCAAGTCGACTTACCTTCATAAGCAGTTAATGGTCATTCATGTTTCATTTCCCGCTTTAATTCATTTCTATAAACGGTCCTGAAGACAGAGGAAACTCACTGTGACTCCAGAAATTATCGGCCATGCTCTCTGCTTGCCTGGTTGCCTTTTCAACAGTTTTGCTACACCGATGTAACGCATCCCATATAGTATCCATGGGATTAGGGCCTGAAATCGTAGCAGAAAGATAAATAGAAGTGAATTACCAAAAAAAAATTCATATAGGAGAGAAGATCCGTTGGAAATTTACTCACTGCTGTTGTAAGCAGGGGAAGCGGACCCAGGGGAAACGTTAGTATAAGGGTTGTGACTGTTGTTGTGGTTGATGGTGTTGTCAGGAGAACTTGATCGAATAGGGATTTCTCTGTAATCGGCCATCTGCTATGGATTAGGAGGAGGAGGAGAAGTAAGAGAACTTTACACTGAACTCTATGTGAGAGAGAGAAATTGCGTGGAGAGGAGCAGGGAATGAAAGAGAACAGAGGAGAGTATGGGAAGAGATGTGTGGGCTACAATTTGCTCACCCCTGTGTTGCGTTACGAAATAAATCGATTACATTATTCTATATTAAGGGTGTGTTTGGATGAAACCAAGCCGTGGTGAAAAAGTGATTTTGGAAAATAGATTCTGGAAAGAATAAATTTTATGAAAAAGTGATTTTGAAAAGTGAGAGTGTTTGGATAGTTGTTATCAGAAGCACTTTTTATATATACAAATTACTAAAAAAAGACAAAAGTTAATTTATGATATATTTTAATTTGAACGAATAAAATTGTTAATAATATATTTTTTATTAACATAATTAATAATACATAAGATAATATAATTAATAAATAATTAATATGTATATATATTTATAAAATATAAGATTAAATATGTTTATAAAAAAATATGTTTATAAAAAAAATAACAAGATACATATCCTATAGACTCACACTCTCCCTTTTTTTCTCCAAAAGCAAAAAATTTTTGCTTTTTCCAAAACTATAGTTTTGACCCAAAACCATGGTTTGTGCAAATTGGGTGGATGTTTGGGTGACTTATCACCCAAACGGTGCCTAAATAAGAAATTAATATGTCAATTACCGCAGTATAAAATTTAGGAATGAAATCTATGTTCTTCCCACAGCAACTCCACCTAAACTGTCATTTTTTATCATGTGGATAGCAACTATTTTTTATTGGAATTTTTTAATATGCATGATCAATATAAATATTTCTAGAAAAAAAAATTATTACCGCCGGTCATTAATATAAGATCTTGTTTGATTTTTATTTTGGTCCTAAATATAAAACACAATCCACTTTGTCTCTCATATTTATACATTTTTTCCCAATATAGTCTTTCTAATAATAGTAGTTCTAATCAATATATTTAATTAACAAAAATATTTTTAAAAAATAACATCTATTTATTACAAAATTTAGAACCGGCGAAAGTACTATATAATATAAAATTTAGGAATAGAATCTAAACCTATGTTCTTTGGCCCAAAAAAAAAATAAAGCAAAATAAGGGGAGGAGAGGGGAGGTGAGAGAAAATTTTAGTAAGTTTGATTTTAAAAAATGGTAAAGTAGGGTTATAAAATTTTTATTAAAAAAAGATGTAAAATAAAATAGTAATAAAAATTAATTAAAATTTTTTAACTTCACTTTTTATTTTTTTTTAATTAGTCTCATTAAAATTTTTCTTTCCCTTCCTCCTTTTTCGTTTTCCTCATACCAAAAAGACTTAGCGTGAATAATCTTTCAATCTGATTCTAAACTATCAATTGGAATTTTACATGGATAAGGATAAGGATTAGGTTGAATATAATAACACCATCCTTCCAGATTTTTTTTTTTTTTGGCCAAACCATCTTTCCAGATTCGTTTGTCAAATTTCGTGATGGAATATGATGATGTTGAAAAGCGAATCTTAAAAAAGTAAATAAGCAGTAACGAATTTGTTCTCCTTTAACTAAGGCCATCAGGAAATATTTATAACAAAAATTAAATATATTAAATGATGTTAACTTTTGGTCTTGAGAATCTTTTTTATTTTTTATTTATAAAAAGTGACTTTTTAAGTATATAAAAAATGAAATTAAGTAATAATTAAATATTTATAATTTTTAGTATCATTTATTATATTAAAATCGTTAACATACAAAATTCTGAAATTTACAATAACTTAGAATCATACTTGAATTTAAAAAAAAAAAAAATCCATGAACAGGTATTTTTCTTGGGACATAAGTTACCTTTTATTTTTGGACTCTGGCCCTTTATATAACAATAAAAATCATACGACACATGTTATACTTATATGGCAAAATAAATTACTTATTTACAACTCCAGGCAACTTACATCTATTTTTAATAGAGAATCTACGAAATGTGATTTTCATTATAAGATTATTGTTAATTTGGTTATACGTATTGAGAGCAACTTCCATTTCTACAACTACATTAGGATGAATAAGCAAAGAATGTGCTCCCAAAAAAAGAATAAGATTCCACAAGAAGTACTCCTCCGGTCCTTAATATAAGACCCATTTAACTAATTTGATTAGATTAAGGAAGTTAGATAAGTTAGTTAATTATAAAACATGACTCAATGAAACATTAAACAAGTGCGTTTGAGTAACATAAAACTACTAGTATTTGAAGGAAGTTTTTCAAGTAACATAAAACATGACTCAATGAAACATTAAACAAGAAGTGCCAAATCCCATTTTCACCCAATAAATTACGGAGCTGTGTGTTTTGTTATGAGGAAAGTGCGTTGTTGTTACAACAGCAAGAAGCATTCAAGTTGCAGAAGAATGGTTGCGATGTCGCTGTAAGGCCTCATTTAGAGTCTTGAGAGCCTTGTCATATGCTATAAACCCCATGAAAGTGAATTCATAGCCATCCACTGTCACTATCTCAATGTACTTTTCTGCAGGGTTCCAGCTGGTTGTGCATGGACTCGCCCTGCTCAACTGTTCCATTGGAATTACCACCTACACATATCAGACACAGAATCAAATATCTGATATTAGAGAACATAACATTAGACATTTAGAAAGAAAAACTTCTAGGTACAGAAAGAAAATCTCTGAAGGGACACCAGTAACCATTTTAGAAGATGCAACCAGAAATATTGTTAGTTGTAGAAGCCTAGTAAAATCTCTCACCTTGTCTTAAGAATCATATGAAACTATTCATGAGTTGTCTTTAATATGATATCAAAATCATTTTACGACCAAGTAATTAAGAGCTTGATCCTTATTAGCAGTACCCCTCTTTGGGCTTTAACTGCTCCTTAAGGCAAAGACTTCAATGATGTCAAGAATCTTGAATACTAATGTAGCAAACAGAAAGTCATAGATGTCTACTGATATGCAAGACAATAGGATCAAAAGCACGGCATATTGTTAGGAGTTTCACGTCGGGGAGTCTCACAAGTATAATGTGATTTATGAGTTTAAAGAGTCTTCCCATCCAATAAGTTAGTTTTTGGTTAGATACTTTCTTTAAACTTGTGCTGGTAATACCTATATGCCAAGGACTAATGTGAAGTTTTGAGGGGCAAAGAAAGAAGGAAAGTAACAAATACCTTGTAGTATACGGATCGACTATTATGAGGAGCGTTTGGGTAATAATAGAATGGATAGTCACTGCAAAAGGCTAATCTTTTGGTTGAGATGTAGAATGTTCCAAGGATGGGTCCATTAGAAGTTGAGATGTAGCAGGCATATTGGTTCAACAGCTTATCCCCTTGCAGTCTCCCAAATGTATTCTCAAATACTCCGTCATGCCCTCCATATGTCATCAGCACTTTTGTTCCTTGCACAACTCTTGCCATTGCTGCATCAGCTGGGTTAGACCCCAATCTTACTGCACATTGAGAATTTCAGAACAACTAAATTCATCTTTAACTACTTATTACCCCACGTTCTTAATATAATGCCTAGTTAACTAATTTGAAAAGATTAAAAAAGTTAGTTAAGTTAGTTATTCATGGTAAATAGATACTCCTCCGGTCCTAATTATAAGACCCAATTGACTTATTTGAGGAGATTAAGGAAGTAAGTTAAGTTGGTTATTTATAATAAATAAGTGTTGTCATTCCTAAAATATCCTTGCTAATTAAGTATATTGGCTAAAACTATCATTATTAGAAGGATTATCTTGGAAAAAAATACATAAATATAAGAGACAAAATGGATTGGGTCTTATAATTAGGACCAAATAAAAAGTCAAATTGGGTCTTATAATAAGGACCGGAGGAGTATTATCTTTCTGAAAATACTCTTATTAATCAAGTGTGTTTAAATTACCCATTAATAGTAACTCCTTAACGTATGTAAAGATTAGGGTGTTATATTTAAAAGTTAGTTGAAAAACAAAGATAGTAAATTAGAACTACCCCTTAATATATGCAATTAAGGGGATAGTTTGAGGGAAAAAATCACAACTTTTCAGAGATAGAATATATTGAGTTCTTATATTAATCCTGAATAGCTTCTAGATATCTAGGCCAGAGGAAGTAATACTTTACTTGTCTTTCTTTATACGTGCAAGACAAAATTTATGTGTAACACAAAGTTCCTGTACTCTTGGATCCAAAACTGAAATTCTATGTTGTAATATCCATATAGACCATTTCATATCAAGCTCTTAAATTGTGATCATAATCAATAACAATAGCATGGACCAAGTTCTGCTCCAGCTCACTTGCCTTCACAGGCAATCTATGGTTTCACATACTTCTTTTGCTGCTTTAATTCATAGAAAGTATTGGTGAAGACAAAGAAAAAACTCACTGTGTTTCCAGAACTTGTCAGCTATGTTCTCTGCTTGTTTCGTTGCCTTCTTAACGGTCTTACCACACCGATTCACCGCACCGAATATAGTATTCATGGGATTGGGAGCTGAAATCGTAGAAGATAAAGTGAGAGATAGAAACAGAAGTGAAACGAGAAGGAATCTTACAAAGTGAACAAAATCTCTTGGGAATTACTCACTCTTGTTGTTAGCAGGGGAAGTGGGGGGCGGCATAACCTTAACATAAGGGTTATGGTTGTGGCTGTTGATGATGTTGTTGTGAGCAGCCATTTCTGGAGCATTTGATTGAACAGGGATCTCACTGCGATTCGCCATATGCTATGGAGAAGAAGAGGAAGAAGAGACGGTTGCACTGAACTGTGCTTGTGACAGAGACGAGAGAGAGCGAGAGATCGCGTAAGGAGGACGAGGGAACGTATAAAGAACAGAGGATTTTAGAAACAGGGGAAGGAATAATAGCAAGACAAATATGCGGGCTACAGTTTTTTTCTTGGAAATTGGAATCTCAAAATAAATAAAACACATTATTTTGTAATAAATAGAAAATCGATATTCAATAATTTTTTTTGCCAACCAATATTCAATATTCATCAATATGCAAATATAAAATAAAATGTATATAATGTATATCATTATTTATAATTTACTATGAGATTATCAATAATATAACTCCTGTTTTAGAATTTGCATGATGCCAAGGCCAGGAATTAAAAGGGCTTTGATACTTTGATATGTATTATTATTTTCGGTCCTTCATATAAAATTCAGTTCACTAATTTAAAAAGATTAAGAAAATTATTAAATCTTAATTATAATATATTACTCCTCCGGTCCTTATTATAAGACCCAATTTGACTTTTTATTTGGTCCTAATTATAAGACCCAATCTATTTTCTCTCTTATATTTATGTATTTTTTCCAAGATAATCCTTCTAATAATGATAGTTTTAGCCAATATACTTAATTAGCAAGGATATTTAGGAATAACAACACTTATTTATTATAAATAACCAACTTAACTTACTTCCTTAATCTCCTCAAATAAGTCAATTGGGTCTTATAATTAGGACCGGAGGAGTATATGATTTTTTTTAAAATACATATATATATATTATTAGATTATATATCAACTTATAAGTGAGACAAATTAGTTTAAAAAAACAATAAATATAAATATTTCAAAATAATTTAGCAATTTAGTTAACATCCTCAAATTAGTTAATTGGGTCTCATATTAAGAATGCAATATTACTAAGTTATATGTGTGGATCACATTTAAATTTAAATAATTTAAAATCTTTTAACAATTAATAACGTAGTAATACAAGTTTTTGCAGTTTTCTTTTTGAGAAAACTACCTATTATTTGGTTACCCTTGAGTTTTTATGTTCCAGTTGAAGTAACTCCATATAATTTTACTTTTTATTAATTATAATGTTCGTGCTACCAACCTAATTTTAGCGAAATATATATAAATAAAAATTTTGCCTTCTAACATAAAAATAATTTTGGGAGAATTACAATGAGATCCTAATAAAGAACAATAACTAACCATAAATCCTAATGACAAGTTAGAAATTGTTAGTTTTTAATCTAAGACTTGTTATTACATGTTGTTTAAGTTATTATTAGGACTTTTTGATAATTATTTTTTTTTTTAATTTGATTGCAACTCTCTCAATAATTTTTGATGGTGTTGATAAACACCATTGACATTGAGCCTCTCAGGCTAAACCCAAATATCCGTGCGAAGTTAGAGTAAACCCAAAAGTTATTTAGAAATAGTATTATTTATAATTTATAATTCATGGGTTGGCATGCAAATAAATATATTAATACATAAATTTAATAGAATTGCCCACGATTTTTCCAACTAATAGAACACCACCGGAAAAGATATGCTTCCCAGCTATAGAAAATGACCCTTTTATTCGCCAGGATGGAAAATTACTATGCCGAAAGGGGAAATCTGAAAAATTATTAACGAATAGGTTCTCTTTTAATCAACGGCGCTAGACGTCATAAGGAAATATTTATCATATTTTATATTATTACTATAGGTTTCAGGGATTAAATAATTTGTTTAAAGTTTGAGATTTAAATTATCATTGATTTGATTTAAAATGAAATCACATGAACCTTATAAAAACATAAATGAGGTGATAAGGCTTATAAATCAGGCATCATCTCATATATATGCATTCGATTGATGATTTGATGCTTGTTTTTGAATTTTTTTAAAAATCACTGTATATATAAAGAATGAAGGATAAGAAGAAGGAAATTAAAAGGAATAAAACAAAGAAGAAAAATAAATGAACATTGGATCTTTAAAAAAATTTACTTATTAATTTGGTTATGCTCCTTGAGAACTGCTTCCATTTTTTTTATTATAACAAAAATCAACTGAATCCAATATTATGCTGGTCACAAGTCACATCACCTAAAATCACCCCCTTCCCCTTCACCCAGATCAAGTAAAATCTCGTCCTTGTTTCATGTAATTAAAATTTTTATTGCACGTAATTAACAATTTGGATTGAGGTCTGAACAAGAGATAGCAATTCAGATTTTAGATGCTCCGATCTTTCTACTCGTGTGATCACATTTTGACTTTAAATCCCAACCGAATAGTTTTAAAATTAAAATTATAGAATTATAATGGTTTTATATATTAATTGACAACTGTCTGGTTATAATTGAAATTTTTTTTTAAAAAAGGTAGTTTATATAGAAAGAGATATATAAATTAAACTATAGCAATTAAGTCTTATTTACTTTCAATTTATTTTCTCGGCAAACAATCTAACTTTAGCTTAATCATTATGTTTACAGTATTTTATTTGACTTATTGATGGAATAATAGTAATATAGTACTTATTTTCTTTAGTTAGTTTATTTTTAATTTAAATTTTATGATTTATTTTTTTAGATTTAAATTTTAGCAGTCATTCTTTTAATATTGAAAAGATGACTGGGACACTTGGTAATTAAATTACCCTTCATTTGGCAAAAAAATTATTTTTACTAAAATAATTTAAAAAGAATTTAACTCTTTAACTTACAAAGCAAAACAAATATTATTTATAAGCGTGAGAGATGTAAAAATAAGTATTATTATCGCTTTTGATAAAGATAATAAATAAAATTTATACTTGAATAACTAAATTAGTTAGTAAATAATTTTGAGAGAAGATTGTCAGAAGGAGATGAGTATCACTGGAATTTGTACGCATCAACTGTTTTTCATTGTATTTATAGACACGTAATCTTGTTCGGTTGTTACAAGTGGCATTCTAAATTTGTAACAAGTAAACCCTATGGAATATAACAATTGGTGTTATCGCATTTTGTATTTGATTTTATTCAATTTATAATTATTTTATAATTTATACCGCTATTAAATATAAAGTTCACATTAATTAAAGGGGAAATTAGACTAAAAGACCTATAAGAAATAACACTTATTGGCGAGGATTTTAAAAGTTATAATTACTTGAAAAGATAAAAATTAAATTATAAAAATAAAAGTGCTCCTTGTGGTTCACAGTGTAAGTTGTTTTAACTAATTTGTTAGAATCAAGAGATGACAGTTTTGTTTCAAATTTAAAAAAATTTTCTTCCAACTTTAACTCATATCAAATGAAGTTATAAATGAATGAGAAAATTACAAAAAAGAAACCACATTTAAACATTAATTTTAGGGCAGAATTGCTAATAAATAAGCACTAATTAGTACTTATTCCTCTGGTTCTATTTATAGGGCAGAGAGAGAAAGTTTATTTTAGTTCTATTTATAAGTTATTTCATTAAATTTTTATCATGAATATACTATATTGTCTTTTATTTATTATAGCGTAGATAGTTTTTTTTTTTAAAAGTGTATATATTAAATAGGGATAAAGTTGAAAATAAAGTTTAAAGTTTTTCTTGATTTATGTGAAATATTTTGAAAATGATTTATAAATAGGACCAGAAGAATATATTATAGATTGATTTTTTTGTCTTGGCAGAAATGAGTTATGTCATATATGGTGAATGGGAGAGAGCATTAAATTACCCCAAAATCCAACATCCTCATCCTTGAACCACCCGTCCCCTAAATCTCGACGGCCTTGAGTCATCGCCCGGCGTTGAAAGCCAATCAACCCCTTTTCGCGTTCATTCTAAACCTCGCCCTCAAGAGAAGTATTCTTTAGTCTTATTTGTAAATTATTTTCAACATATTTAAAAAGCCTTAAACTGAATTAATTTTCTTTTAAATTATAATAATTTTTTAACTTTATCTTAATTTATATACATTTGGAAAAAAAATTATTTACCACTATAATCTTTATAATTTGTCATGCACATTTGTCATTTATATGGAGAGATTTTGGTCTTTTCTATTTATCACTTGCATCTTTTTTAATACTTCATTTTCAACTCCTCTGCCCCTATTAATTATAGTAAAGATAAAGAGAAAGAATAGGTGAGAAAAAATATATTAGTATTTAATAGTCCCCTTAATAAGGGTAAAAGTGAAAAAATTTCATCTATTTAATACTCTCCTTGGTATGTGAGAAATTGCTACAAATAACAAATAAAAAGAACCAAAATGGTAAACTATAATAAATGAAAAACAAATCAATGAATTGACTTATAAACAAAACCAACATAATATTTTATCGCTGCTTTATAAATAAAACCAAATGAGTAATTTGACAGGGTTAGTAGAATCTATCCCGATCCAAAGGGCAGCAAACTCGGTTGGGTTGATTCAGTGGAGGTCAAAGGAGCTTCCAGTGCTAGTTTTCTGAGTTCGTTGGGTTTAGTATTCATAGCTGACTGCTCAATGATAGAGAAAATCCTCTTGACAACCAACAGCCTTGTCTTAATAGAATGAGCTTTGGCCACTTAAACACGAACTCTCTGACAGTGCGTGTGAATATAAAAAAGCGTTCTTAGGAGAATTATAATTAAGTCAGCCCTTGAATCTGACCCATCAGTCAGTCAAATAGTCATATTAAAAGAATGGCTACTTGAAGATCCACCCCCTGGTGAGGGCGTCAAGATTGGAAAGCGATGAAATGCATACAGGGTTGGTTCACACTGTATTTTTAGCCTTCACCAATGGCTATAAACTTGGCCAGGATAGGATTTGATGAGCTTGAATTGTCTTCAGTACCGAATGAATGTACAGAACTGGCCAGTTTCCAGCACTTCATAAAGTTATATATCAAATTATATATTGATAATAGTCTCTTACCCCAATCTGGGCCTGCGTTCATGGATCCAAAGAACTTCGATATCCATTTGCTAGTATGAGTTGTTGTCGGAGGGAAGGTGGGAGGTTAAGCAATTTAGTGCTTTTTCATATCTAATCTTTTTAGATAATTATAATTTTTAATAAGAAAAATGACAACAAAATTCCTG